TGAGGCTCCCCCCGGCCCGGCCTCTGGAAGGCGCAGCAGCAGTGGGAGCCCTCGGTATTGTGGCTGTGGCAAGGCTGGCACAGGGGAGAATAACGGGGGCCCGCAGGTAGCCTTGGAGAGTGGTTGGGGACCAGGATGTCAAGAGAGGGGACACTGATTCTCTGCTTCCCTCCTTCTCCTGCCAGGGAGCTTGAGGACTACATGAGCGACAGGGTCCAGTTTGTGATCACAGCACAGGAGTGGGACCCCAGTTTTGAAGAGGTGAGTTCCAGAGGGGCAGGGAAAGGGACACCCAACCCGTCCTTGTGTCACCTCCATCCCCTCCTCACTCACATGTTCCCATATGCACCCCGCTCCGCCTTGCAGGCCCTGATGGATAACCCCTCCTTGGTGTTTGTCCGCCCCCGATGGATCTACAGTTGCAACGAGAAGCAGAAGTTACTTCCGCACCAGCTTTATGGGGTGGTGCCCCAGGCCTAAAGTATGTGCTTTCATGCATATGCATGCGTGTACACACACACACACACACACGCACACACACAAGATGAGCTTAATAAAGGTGACCTGGTTTGGAGCAGCTGCCCCTCTTACTCAGAAGTCTCCTGAACCTCCTAGAGGCTCCCAGCTTTCTGTCATGTGTTTGGTTTTTGCTTCTCTTCTGAGGGTCAGGTATCTTGGCTGCCCTGGGGTCCTGGGAAGAATTGACGGGCTCTCTATCAGGGGTTTGGTAGGGAAGGAGCTCTTTGTTACTTCTCCCTGGCCACTTTCCCCTGTGGGGCAGGTGGCAGGGACTTGGGGTTCCAGCCCTCTGAGCCCATTCCTGGGTCTTGTTTGTCCCTCTGTTGGTCCTGGGCTGGAGGTCTGGATGCTCGTGAGGTGTGCTTCTCTCTTGAAGTCCGTCTCAGCTCCCCTGGGCCAGGGATAGCTCCCTTTCTCCAGGGCTTGCAGAAGTGGCTGTAGAACTGTCAGCGCAATGGTAGAACAGGGGGAGGGGTATTTTAATCACGCCCTTCAAGCATCCACCACATTTAAGTTGGGAACTGAGCGGGGTGTTAGGGAATTGGGAGGAAGCTAGGATGGAGTTCTAGGCAGGGGCCATGGCGCGGGCAGAGGCCAGGACGTGGGAACCAGCCTGGCTCCCCGGGGTCAGTTGCTTAAGAGGCTTTAGGGGCAGATCTGTCTGGAAGGAGGGACATAGTCCTTGCAGCTGTGCTAACACGGTAGCCCCTGGACCCGGGTAGCTATCTAAATGAACTACAGTGACGTGAAGGGAAGAGTTTACTTTGTCGGTCACACTGGCCACATTTCAGGTGCCCACTGGCAGCTGTAATAGAGAACACAGATGAAGAACATTCACGTCACTGTTGAAGCAAAAGGACAGGGCTGTCCTGAAGGGCTTCGAACGCCAGGTTGAGAAGCTTGGACATTATCCTGGAGCTGGGGAGGTCAGGAGGGGGTTGGAGCAGAGCAAAGGGCAGTCAGAGCTCAGTAACAAATTACCACAGACTTTATGTCTTAAACCTACAGAAATTTATAACCTTCCAGGTCTGGAGGTCTGAAGTCCAAAAGGGACTGAAACTCAGGGTGTAGGCAGGGCAGTGCTCCTTCTGGAGGCTCTGGGGGAAATCTGCGTTCTTGTCTTTTCCCCAGTTCCCCTTCCGTATTCAAAGCCAGCAGTGGCCAGTGGTCTTCCTCACGCCACCTCACTCTGAGACGGCCTCTTCTGTCTCCTCCTTCCACCTTCAGAGATCCTTGTGTTTACACCGAGCCCGCCTGGATGATCTGGGATAATCTCCCTGTTTTATTTATTTATTTATTTGTTTTTTAAAGATTTTATTTATTTATTTGACAGAGAAAGACACAGCGAGAGAGGGAACACAAACAGGGAGTGGGAGAGGGAGAAGCAGACTCCCTGCCGAGCAGGGAGCCTGATGCGGGACTCGATCCTGGGACTCCAGGATCATGACCTGAGCCGAAGGCAGCCGCTTAACCAACTGAGCCACCCAGGCGCCCAATCTCCCTGTTTTAAAGTCTGCGGATTAGCAACTTTGATTCCTTCCACCCTAATTCTCCTTTGCCACATAGCAGATCCATGGGTTCCAGGGATCAGCATGTGGACATCTTTAGGAGGCTGTTACTCTGCCTACTGCGCCCACCATGTGTGAGATGGTGGGACTACGGTGTGAAAAAGAGACACGAGGCCCCGTTCTCACAGGGCTGACATTCCGCTGGTGGAGAGACCGTGAGTGTGTCGTGCAGCGTTGAGCACGAACACAGGGCAGTGTTACAGAGCCATGGGACAGGGTGGCGTGGTTCAGAGAGGGTCAGTGGGGAAGGTGTGTCAGAGGACTGACCCCTCTGCAGGGACTTGGGAGAAATAAGGGAGAGTCTGGGGGGAACCATTCCAGGTGGAGGAAAAGCAGGTGCAAAGGCCCCCAGGCAGGAACCGGCTTGACCTATACAAGGAGCAGCGGGAGGTCAGCGTGTCACAAACTCAGGATCCGCCCTGGCTCAGCACTGGCCTGCTGTGTGGACGCAGGCAAATCCCATCTTTCCTGGCCTGTTGCCCCATCTCTACGTCAACGGTTGGACCAGATCGACACCTCGCAAATGCATTTGTCCCTGAAACTTTGATGGTGGTGTGTTGCTGTGGAGGAAATCTTCCAAGTCCACTCTGTATGTAAACCTTGATAGCAACCGCACTTCTGGCATGGAGGGACTTAATCCTCCTCCTCGCCCACCCCTTCCCCAAGGCCTTGCCCAGTGGACTGGGTCTAGCTAGCGGCTGGTCTAGCAGCCTGCTAATTTGCATTCGCCTGCCCGGTGCCACCCCTGATTCCACAAACCATCTCTCATTCCATCTGCACATTTCAGATCACAAGTAAAACTCTACCTCTTCAAAAAGGTCTTTGCTAACCCTCTATATAATAGTATGTGCCCGGTATACACCCATAATACTGTATCTCTCGCCATAGTTGTAACTTGATTTGTTTATGGTCAAATCTACCAGTCTCTTCCTCTATGATGTACATTTCTTGTATCTTAAGGATTCTTTCTGTACTTCTGAGGTTACAAAGATATTCTCCTTTATTATTTCCATTTTGTTTTTCAAATTTAGATCTTAAATCACCAGAAACTTATTTTTGTGTATGGTACGAGATCGGGATCTGTATGTTTCCTATTGCTGCTGTAACAAACTATCCCAAGCTTAGTAGCCTTAAACAACACAAATGTATTTGCTTATAGTTCTGTAGGTCAGTAGTCCAACTTTTGTCTCAATGGCCTAAAATCATGGTGTCTGCAAGGCTGTGTCCCTTCCGGGGAGGATCCATTTCCTTACCTATTCCAGTCTCTAGAGGCTGCCTGAGTCCCTTGAATCATGGCCCTGCATCCCTCTGGTGTCCATTTCCATTGTCACATCCCCTCTGACTCTTCTGCTTCCCTCTTTCCCATATAAGGACCCGTGTGATTACATCGGGCCCCCTGGAATAATCAGGATAATCTCCCCATCTCAAGATAAGATCCTTAATCACAAATCTGCCAAGCCCCTTCTGCCATATGTAAACTAACATACTCAGGTTCTGGGGATTAGGACATGGACCTCTTTGGGGGACCATTATTCTGCCTCCACAGGATCCCACTTAATTTTTTTCCAGATCTCTCAGCTCATTCACAGATGAGCCTGTCCTTGCCCCATTCACCTACAGCAGAGATCTGCAAACTACATCCCATAGGCAAAATCCAGCTCAGCTACCATTTTGTAAAGTTTTACTGGGCTAGAGCCACACACATTCATTCGTGTGTCATAATGTGTGTGGCTGCTTTTGGACTCCAGGGGCAGAGCTGGGTCGTTGTGGCAGACACCGTGGCCTGCAAAACCTAAAAGTACATACCATCGGGCCCTTTCCAGAAAAAGTGTGCCAACCCCTAATCTAGTCATGGGGATTGTCACTTGTCAGGACCTCCTGTGAGCACCAGGCCGTTTCTGAGCCCTCGGTCCTCTTCCACTCGCCTGTTCCCATGCCAACACCACAGATGTCATTGCTATGACTTTGAAATCATTCTTGGAACCTGGGCTGGGGGTGGGGGTGGGGGGCAAGGCTCCCTCCCCTACTTTGTTCTTTAAGATGGACTTGGCTCCTTTACTTTCTTTTCTTTTCTTTCTTTTTTTGTCCACTACTTGATTAGCACCCACTCCCCCTCGCTAGACCAGGCCTGTCTTGTTCACTGCTGTGTGCCTACCACCCTGGGCAGAGTCCAGCACATTATAGATGCTTAATACACATCTGAAGAACGAAGCGCAGTCCATTGTTAGCTCATTCTCATTTTATAGCAGAAGAAACAGGCTCCGAGAAGGGAAGTGATGCCAGAGATGATGCTTGTGCCCTTACAAAGGCCTCCTAGCACTCCCATGTTATAGATAAGGCATCTGAGTCCAGAGAAGTGACAAAGCTTGTCCAGGGCCCCCCGGCTCATAAGTAGTGGGTCAGGGCTGGCTCCAAAGCTTGAGCTTTAAAAAATGTTTATACTATTGGCAGCATGCCCTTTGTTCTTTTATCATTTCGTATATTTAGGGACTCATTCCACATCTGTACAAATAGAGTTTTTTTCCTATAGCAACATAGTCCATTCTATGGCTGTATTGTATTTCATTAGCTGGTCCCCTCTTGATGGGCACTTGGGTGGTTTCCCAACATCCTTATGCCTTTTTGTTTTTTTTTGTTTTTTTTTAAAGATTTTATTTATTTATTTGAGACAGAGAGAATGAGAGGGAGGAGGGTCAGAGGGAGAAGCAGACTCCCCGCTGAGCAGGGAGCCCGATGCGGGACTCGATCCCGGGACTCCAGGATCATGACCTGAGCCGAAGGCAGTCGCTTAACCAACTGAGCCACCCAGGCGCCCCTGCCTTTTTGAACATAGGAACATCCTTATGCCTTTTTCAGTGCTTGAGTTTATCTATAGGATAAGTTCCTAGAAGTGGAATAGTTGACACGGGCATGTGAACATTTTAAATTTTTTATGGACAGTCAAATGGCCAAGATGGAGGCACCAATTTAACTTACAATAAGGAGAGACCCTGTTCCCCACATTCCTCAGCAACCAACGATGCTAGCAGACTTTTTACTTTTGCCTTATAAATAGGGAAAAACCAGAGCCAGGGCTTGCTTTCAAACCCCAGCTCCAAGCCCATGGTTTGGGGCCCAGCGCTAACTTTCTGTGGGTGACACCTTCCCCTCCCCCAAAACAAGTGAGCAAAGAGTTCCTCAGCCTTATAAGTTGGAGCCCAGTGTGGAGCCAGTCTCCCTGCCAGCTGTCTGGTCAAGGCAAGTCCATACAGCCCAGCTTAAAAATGCCGCCTCTTTATTGACCCAGGCTGGTGGCAGAGGACGCCGTGAGCCAAGGGGAAGACTCACTCACGCTCCCCCTGGCTCTCAGCCTGGTGGTGGCTGCGCTGGTGAAGGAGCAGGAGGCGTCTTTGGCCAAAGGCCTGGTCGCAGCTGGAGCAGCGATGCCGGGCTGTGGCCTGGCTGCCTGGTGCCGTCGGGGGGTCGTGACAGAGGCGATGGGCGGCCAGTTTGGAGGGGAATGAAAAAGCCTTGGGGCAGTGCGGGCAAGGATAGGGGCGGGCGTCGGTGGCATGGTGCGTGTGGCGGTGGGCTGCCAGCTTGGAGGGGTAGCAGAAGGACTTGGGGCAGTCGGGGCACGGGTAGGGGCGGGCGGGCGCGTGGGTCCAGAGGTGGGCTGCCAGCTTGGAGCGGTGGCCAAAGGCCTTTGGGCAGTGCGGGCACGGGTGTGGGCGGGCACCACTGTGCGTGAGGCGGTGGGCTGCCAGCTTGGAGGGGTAGGAGAAGGCCTTGGGGCAATCGGGGCACGGATGGGGGCGGGCGCCGCCGTGTGCCAGCCGGTGCGTGGCCAGCTTGGACGGGTACGAGAAGGCCTTGTCACAGTCAGGGCAGCGGTGCGGGCGCTGGGGCGGGGGCCGCCGGCGGGGTCGAGAAGGCGCCCCCGCGGACGTGGCAGGCCCTGGAACCGACTTGCTGGGCTTCTGCGGCGAGCCCTGGTGGGGAGCTACAGGACAGGAGGGCTGGTGGGCTCCAGGCATCAACCAACACCCTGAATCTAGGCCAGGCTTCCCTTCCCCCACCCCAACCTTGACACCTCAGGGTTCATCTGGGATTCCTCAAATGACATGTCTCTATTCCCCACCTTATGCCATGCATCATCCAAAGGGGCTCCAAAGGGTTACCTGGCTGGAATCCCAAAGCTACTAAGGTGTTCGTTTCTAGTATATTCCCAAGTGATCACCCTGAAATTCCGCATATCAAACCCCCTGACCCTTAATTTTCTGAGTCCTAAAAAATCACTGAAGTTCCCCAAAGCCAATAGTAGGATTCCCCAGAACATATTTGTGGAGTATCCCAAATGGTCATCACCCTAGGCCTTCAAACTTTCACCCTGAGATTCCCTCAAAATATGATTTTCTTAGCCCCAATTCCTGTGCCCCCCTACCCACGGGCGGGACCTCTCTCACCTCCTCCCTTGGTTACTGGTTCCTTGCAAGTGGGACTACGATCGGTGTCCCCGGCCGCGGACTCTGCATCTCGTTCCAGCATCTTGCTGGCCCAGGAACCCAGAGGGAGGTAGGCGATGCCGGTGATTACCAGGCTGATGGGGATAGGGCTGTAGGGCCTAAAATCAGGGACCAGTCTGTTCAGGAGCAAGGTCTTTTTAAGCCTGGGATCCAAAGGCTAGGGCGGGCCTTACGCGAAGGCGGAGCCTAAGAGCACAACGGGCGGGGTTTATGCAAACATGACCCTTTGCGACTTAGACCCGGGGTTGGAACCCTCGAGCCGAGTGGGCGGGGCCTCTACTACTTAAATTCAGGGGCCGCCCTGAGCGCGGAGCTGGCTAGGCCTCTACATCGAGTGGGCGGGACCTCCCCCCCCAACAGAACCTCCCAGCCGTGGAAGCAAAGACGGGACTGGGCGGGGCTATATAGACAGGACCCAAAGCAACTCAGACCCAGGGGAGGGGCCTTCGAGCGGAGAGGGCGGGTCTTTTACAACTGTCTCAGGGGAGGAGCCTGAGCTCAGTGGGCGGGATTTCACCTCCAATAGGTAGCTTTACCCGAGTCTTGGTTTAGTCTCAGTCCATTGACGCCGCGTGAACTGCTTCCTTCTTGTTGCTAAATTTCATCCCCAGCGTGGAGGGTAGAGGGGAGACCTAGAGGGAAATGCAGAAAGAACGTGGCGTGTCTTGCGATCCAGAGACCCCTACTGGATTTTTCCCTCGGGATCCCAAGCGTCCGGGCCTCAATGCACGCCTCGAATCATGGCATTCGGGCACCAATGCACTCTACCAAGGCTCAGGCACCAATGCAGCCCCTCCAGAACCTATGCATCAGGACGCCAATCTATTCCTTTCCGGGAGATCCTGGCGTCCAGCCCCCAATCCACTTCCCGAAGACCCAGGCGTCCAGGCCCGGACCCGTGCCCCTCTCACCTGCGGAAGGCCCCTCCCCGGGGGCGGGGCTCCGGGCCCCTCCCGCAGCGGCCGCTGCAGCTGCTGCGCTGCCCTCGGACGCGGCAAAGCTGCACGGCCCGGCGCGTGCCCAGCGACGGGAGGGGAGGGAGCGCGCGTGAGCTTCTCGGCCCAGCCTCATTTCTATCCCCTCCTCCCACGCGGGGCCAGTGGGGGCGTCAGTACGCATGCGCAGTCGCGGCCAGCGGAGGGGGCTGCGGGGGAGAAAAAATGGAAGGAGGGGTGAGTGCGCAAGGCAGGCAAGTTGGTGAGCAAGCGCCGAGCTACGGATAGAAGGGCTATAAGAAAGTATACTGCGGGTTGCGGGGACTACGGTGGCTGACTGGAGTCAAGCACGTGCAGGACCTAACTCGGAGAAACTGCGCTTAGAGATCACTGAGACAGTGCCCAACATATGCGCCTTCCTTTTCTCTGTCCCCCTCCCTTTCGAGATTCCGTTGGGAGCTTGAGTTCCCTCTCCGAAGGGAGTTTGAAGAGCCGGCTGCCCATTTCACCCCTCAAAGCGTTTGCAAAGAAGGCAGGCCAATTAGTGAGGGGGCGGGGCGGGACGCGAGGCTTCGAGCAGGCTGACGCCCAATAAAAAACATGTTATTTGCATAGCGTCCCTGCACCCTTCGCCATTGGGTGATTCAAGAATCTCAGCCCCTCCCACCCCGATGCCGCGGTTCTCGTGTTGGTGTGCGGATGGAGGCGGCGGTTCCCGAAGCATCCCAGCCCGAGTTCTTGGGAGGGCTGGAGCTCCTGGTGCCAGGCCCAGGGTGGCACACTTGGCACCTTTCCCCGGGCCGTGATGGTGCACTTTTCCGCCCACCACGGGAGTGACCGTGAAGTGCCCATAAAAATGCCCTGCATTGGGTGGGTCTTCAGTCTGATAACCCACAAGGTCTGGTGAGTCCTGGGAGCCGTGGGAGTTAGACGGTGGGGTTATTCGAGCTCTGGAGCCAGATTGCCTGGGTATCTGGTTGGCTCGGCCACTTTCTAGCTGTGTAAGGTTGGCCAAGTCTCTCCACCTTTCTGCGTTGTTAGGATGAAATTCAGTAATCAATGGAAAGTTTAGAACAGTGCCTACAGTGGTCAGTACACGTTACCAATACTACTTCTTGTTTTTATTGTGCATTGAACTAGGCCATGATGGGATCAAGGTCGTCCCAGAACAGCAAGTGCAGAGAGCTCAAGATGGGAAGGAGCATGCTGTGTTCTGGGAATCTTTCTTTAATTTTTAAAAAGATTTTTATTTATTTATTTGACAGAGAGAGACACAGCAAGAGAGGGAACACAAGCAGGGGGAGTGGGAGAGAGAGAAGCAGGCTTCCTGCGGAGCAGGGAGCCTGATGCGGGGCTCGATCCCAGGACCCTGGGATCATGACCTGAGCGGAAGGCAGACGCTTAACGACTGAGCCACACAGGCGCCCCTGGGAATCTTTCCTACCTCGATGCTCCAAACTCACCTTCCTTTCCAGTGCTGGTATATACCATGGTCCATCCTACTCCAGGGCCTTTGCACTAGCGGTTCCCTCTGTCCCCCCAAGGTCATTCCTCCATCAAATTGCTTGTCTGAGCTGGTGCAGCCACTCTGGAAAACTGTATGGAGGTTCCTCAAAAAGTTGAAAATAGAGCTACCATATGATCCAGCAATTGCACTACTGGGTATTTACCCCAAAGATACAAAAGTAGGGATCCGAAGGGGTACGTGCACCCCGATGTTTATAGCAGCAATGTCCACAATAGCCAAACTGTGGAAAGAGCCAAGATGTCCATCGACAGATGACTGGATAAAGAAGATGTGGTATATATATACAATGGAATATTATGCAGCCATCAAAAGGAATGAGATCTTGCCATTTGCAACGACGTGGATGGAACTGGAGGGTATTATGTTGAGCGAAATAAGTCAAACAGAGAAAGACATGTATCATATGATCTCACTGATATGAGGAATTGTTAATCGCAGGAAACAAACTGAGTGTTGTTGGAGTGGGGGGTGGGGTGGGAGGGATGGGGTGACTGGGTGATAGACACTGGGGAGGGTATGTGCTCTGGTAAGCGCTGTGAATTGTGCAAGACTGTTGAATCTCAGATCTGTACCTCTGAAACAAATAATGCAATATATGTTAAGAAAAAAAAAAAAGAAGAAGAAGGTAGCGGGAGGGGAAGAATGAAGTGGGGGAAATCGGAGGGGTAGACGAACCATGAGAGACGATGGACTCTGAAAAACAAACAGGGTTCTAGAGGGGAGGGGGGTGGGAGGATGGGTTGGCCTGGTGGTGGGTATTGAGGAGGGCATGTTCTGCATGGAGCACTGGGTGTTATGCACAAACAATGAATCATGGAACACTTCATCTAAAACTAATGATGTAATGTATGGGGATTAACATAAGAATAAGAAAAAAAAATTGCTTGTCTGACTCCTCCGTCTGATCTCCTTTCAAATATTACCACAGCAGAAGGCCTACGCTGTCCACCCTAGCTCATGGAGCCCCCTTCCCTCCATTACTCTGTTGTCGCATCTCCCTTGTATGCACATAACAGAGCATACCTGTCCTCTAGACTATATGCTCTGTTAAGATGAACAACCTATCTGTCTTGTTTATCACTCTGTCCAGGACAGAGCTTAGCACATAGTCGGTGTCCAATAACTCTGTATCAAATAAATGCTGGAAAGAATTAACAGCCAGAAACTCTCTGTGATGGGAAGATACGTTGATGGGAACCATGGAGAACTTGAGGTCAAGGAGTTAGAAAGAGGCCTAGCTGAGTGGGAAACCAAGGGAGGGTTTTTAATATGGGAAGTGACATGAATGAGTTTGGGTTTTCATATACTCTTTTTTTTTAGGTTATGGAAAATTTCAAACATAACCAAAAGGAGAGGAAGAGAAAGAGTATAATCAGCCCCTCACCAGCCCATCACCCAGCTTCATCATGACCAATCTTATTCCATCATCCCCTTGCCCCTTAAGGTCCTTGAAGCAAATTCCACACATTTCATCCAGAAACACTTCAGTGTGTGTCTCTAAAAAATAAGGACTTTCTTTCTATCTTTTAAACACAACCCAAAGTATCATTACCAAACTTTCAAACTTTGGGGTCGTTTCTTTACATTATCACATTTCCCCCATGGTCCCATGTATATCTTGTTTTTCCTTTCCTGAACAATGTTTTCTCTTGAACATACAGAAAGTGTGAGAGAACAGAATTGTTCTCTGCATTAATAATACCAGCGGCATTGGCATCAACAATTTCCTACTCATGGCCGATGTTGTTTCATTTCTCCCACCCACTCTTCCCAGATGATTTTGAAGCTATATGCCAGACATCTTATCCCATAAATATCTTTTTCTTATTACACTTGGTGTATCTCCATCGGGACCTAAACAAGATCCACACGCTGTGTTTGTTGTCTGTGATTCTTCAGTCTCTTTGTCATTGATATTTTAAAAGGCTCTCTCTGGTTATTGCATAAAATAGATTGTAGGGGGGGCGCCTGGGTCGCTCAGTCGTTAAGCGTCTGCCTTTGGCTCAGGTCATGATCCCAGGGTCCTGGGATCGAGCCCCGCATCGGGCTCCCCGCTCGACGGGAGGCTTGCTTCTTCCTCTCCCACTCCCCCTGCTTGTGTTCCTGCTTTCGCTGTGTCTCTCTCTGTCAAATAAATAAAATCTTTAAAAAAAAAAAACCCACAAAATCTAAAATAGATTGTAGGGAGGCAGAGCGGAAGCCAGAAGCCCAGTGAGGTGGCTGCTATATATTAATGACACAATTCATTCCCAGCATTTATTTAGCACTTTTTATATACCTGAAACTGTCTTGGGCGCTTTGTATAAATTCTTTTTTTTTTTTTTTTAAAGATTTTATTTCTTTATTCATGAGAGACAGAGAGAGAGAGAGGTAGAGGGAGAAGCAGGCTCCCAAGGAGCAGAGAACCCGATGCGGGACTCGATCCCAGGACCCTGGGATCATGACCTGAGCCGAAGGCAGACGCTTAACCATCTGAGCCACCCAGGCGCCCGCTTTGTATACATTCTTTCATTTCATCCCGGCAGCAACTTTTTAAGAGGAGGCGCTACCATTATTCCCACTGTTCAGAAGAAGAAAATGAGGCACAAGGGGGGGACTCACACAGCCTGGAGGTAGCAGGGTCAGGATTTGAACTCCCGCAGCCAGGCCCTGGAATCCATGCCATTTGCATGTATGCTTTGCTGCTTCTTGACTGAGGCTGAGGGAGTGATGGCGGAGAAGTGGCCTGATTGGAGAGGTTAACTTAACCGGGCCTAGTGATGAAGGGGGAGGAGGTAACAGAGGAGGAAGGAGTCAAGGACGGTGAGGACAGAATGATAGCCAGCTCCTGTCGAGAGCTTGTTCTGTGCCATCTGCTCTCCCGGACTCTTTACATGTCTGAACTTATTAGATCTTCCCAATGAGGGAAGGAGCTATTTTCAACCTCATCTTACAGAGGAGTAAACTGAAGCCCAGAAGAAGCTAAGTTTTGAGCCCAAGGTCACACAGCTGGGAAGGGTGATGCTCAGATTTCTACCTCTTAGGAGATCTCACAGCTGACCCAGAAGGTGTGCATGCCTTCAAGGGTCTAACAATCCTGCCAAAATCATAGGAATCGGCCCCAGGGGTGAGGAGGTCTTATTTGGGGGACCCTGATAGTAAAGAGGGCCTGAGGATCTCTGTTTTCCTGTTTCCTCCTGCCCCTGAGCTCCTGGCAATCCCCGAACCTATTTCAGTCCCAGTGGCTGCACCATTCTCCCCACCAAACCGGACAGGACTCACCTCTGGATCCCCAGCTTCGCCCAGCTTGGGCCAGGTACACAGGAGCCCTCAAGTGAGGCATAAATGAGCAATATTCTTGGGGCACCTGGGTGGCTCAGTCATTAAGCTTCTCCCTCTGCCTCTCTCTCTCTCTGTCTCTTATGAATAAATAAAAAATCTTTAAAAAAAAAAGTATTAAAAAGATTTTATTTATTGGGAAGCCTGGGTGGCTCAGTCGTTGAGCGTCTCCCTTCGGCTCAGGTCATGATCCCAGGGTCCTGGGATCGAGTCCCACATGGGGCTCCCTGCTCCTCAGGAAGCCTGCTTCTCCCTCTCCCATTCCCCCTGCTTGTGTTCCCTCTCTCGCTGTGTCTCTCTCTGTCAAATAAATAAAATCTTTAAAAAAGTGCGAGAGGGAGAAGCAGGCTTCCTGCTGAGCAGGGAGCCCGATGCGGGGCTCGATCCCAGGACCCTGGGATCATGACCCCAGCCGAAGGCAGACGCCCAACCATCTGAGCCACCCAGGCGCCCAATAAATAAAATCTTTAAAAAAATAAAAAATAAATGAGCAATATTATCTCCTTGACTTTGAACTTTCCTTTCCGTCTGTTTCTCTCCTCTCTGAGAGATTCTCTCCCTCTTTCTGCTCATTTCTCCTTACTCTAATGTCCCAACATCTCCTCCTATCGTAATCGTCTAGAATTTCCAAGTGTATCCTTCTGACCATATTTCTTTGATGGACATCCCATTTCAACTCTATATCTCTCCATGAATCTCTGAAAGTCTTTCCAGGTCTCTCTTTTTGGTATCTCGGAGTCCAAGTCTCTCTCAAGTCTCTAAGCAAATCCCTTGTCTCTGAGTGGCTCTCTGTGTCTCCTGATAAAAACCACTAGGAATACGTTAGGAGTCCCGCTATCAGTGTATTGGGGCCTCTTGTTGGGTTTTTAGTTCTCTCCCTGTCTGTGCTTGTCCCAGTGTCTCTCCCTCGCCTTTTGAGCCTTTTGAGTGTCTCCCTGTTCGCCGTTTCTCCGGGTCTCAATGCCTTCTCCGTCTTCTCTCCGCCTGACCGCCGTGAGCCCCCAGCGCCCGCGGCCCCTTTAAGGCGGGCCCCGCCCCCGCCCCGCCCCGCCCCTCCCAGGTCAGCCCGGGGCCACCCGGCTTCCGCCCGGGCTTGGCGTCGGCTCAGTCCCCACCCGGCCGCGGGCGCGATGGCGGGGGCCGCACTGAGGGTCGCCGGGAGGCAGCTCAGCCAGCACAGCGGCTCTGGAGTCCCCATTCTCCTACGGCAGGTGCGAGGAGGCTGGGCCCGCAGCGGGACTACTGGGCGCTGGGCGGCGGCAGGGGCGGGACCCCGGGGTCCTTTAAAGCGGAGAGTTCCGGGATCCCCTGGGCTTGGAGCAGGACTGCTGAGTCCTTTACGAAAGAGGTTGCTGGAGACCCTGATTTGGGGGGTATTTGGAAGTTGGGACTCGTTGTTTCAGATGGAACAGATTCCTGACACCAAGGGGGAAGAAGGGTCTGGGTTTTCTGTTTCTGGATCTTAGGAAGAGAATCGAGCGAGGCTCGGACTCTTGGGGCCCCAGTGAGTGGCAGTCTCGTTCCTCGCTCTCACCTGTCCCACGCCCCCTTCCCAGATGTTTGAGCCCAAGAGCTGCACCTACACGTACCTCCTGGGTGACAGAGAGTCCCGTGAGGCCATTCTGATCGACCCGGTTCTGGAGACAGCACCTCGGGATGCCCAGCTGGTCAAGGAACTGGGGCTGCGACTGCTGTATGCTGGTCAGTGTGGAGGCCGAACCCCTGGGTCTGGGGGAGGAGGGGGTTGGGGGCTGGGAATCCTGCGTCCTCTCTGTGCCCTCCCGGACCTGGTCCTCCTCTCTCTCCCAGTGAATACCCACTGCCACGCGGACCACATTACGGGCTCAGGGCTGCTCCGGTCCCTACTCCCCGGCTGCCAGTCTGTCATCTCCCGCCTTAGTGGAGCCCAGGCTGACTTGCACATTGAGGATGGAGACTCCATCCACTTCGGGCGCTTCGTGAGTTGGATGCTGGGTCCCGAGAGGGTGGTGACCTGGACTTCTTGGACTTAAGGAAAGAGGGGGCTGAGGGCGTGGGCTCCTGAGCCCTGGGGTAGGAGGGAACTCTGACCTGGGCTCCTGATCCCTGAGTTTGTCTCTGGGAGGAGGGCGCCATAAACCCAGGTGGGGCACTGGGGCAAGAGGCTCTGGGCAGGTGTGTCTCTGGCCAGGCCCATAAGTCAACAGCATTTGTGGAGTTTCCTATAGCCTTGGGGCAGCTCCTTTGGCCTGGCATCTCCATAAAAGTTGATTGAGGGCTAGAAATCTGAGGCCAGGGCTGAAGGAGAGATTCAGCTCAGTCTTCTAGAGCCACTGTTGGAGGAAGGAGCATCCCCTTGCCCAGAGCTAGGACTAGGGTGAGGCGAGCAAGGCACCTAGGGTGCAACATTTAAGGAGGCACTCACTCTCAGGGTCATGCAAAGGCAGGGTAGGCACCTGCGAGTCAGCGCCTCCTTAAATGTTCACCCTTCTGTGCCTGCTGGCCTCACCCTTGCTGGGGCTGTTGCCTCACACAGGAAGGGCCTGAAGGTTCCTACCTCCTCTCTGGTCTTTGTCACAGGCCAAGGTCAGCAGGTTTCCAGCCAGGATTTCAACCCAGAGCAATAGATCAGGGTGGAGAGGGTGCG